AGAAATATCAATCTCAGCTTCACCTTCTTTTGATCTGTGCTGTCTTCTTGTCATACTTCTTTCATGCCACATCACATCTGAAGCAGATTAATCATTTACATTTAATAAATTTAAGAGCTGAAATAAGCAAAGCTTAATAAAATTTGATTACAGAATCAATATCAAGTTAGGAAGTATGGTCCTCATATTTCTGAAACTTTTGTGCTAGTTAAATTACATTCATGCTTGTTAAGGTGTGACAGTATATATGAATTAGAGTATGACTTGCATAAGATTCATAAGGTCCACATTTTGAACTTTAAGTATAAAATACTGCACTGATAAACATTATGTGATGCAACAAGCAGAACTCAAGCTCACTTAAGCACATTAATAGAAGGGACCTTTGTCTACCTCTGGTACCAATTAAAGCCAATATGCTAATAGCACATAAGGAAAAGTCCAAATATTGCACCTAAACCAGCAAAACTTTGAGAGCTCCCATCGCTATTTATTTGAGTCCTTACCTTTGTGTGCTGGAAGAACTTCTCCTTTGGTGGATGAAACTCAAGAAGTGTTTTCCCCAGTAGCCGTGTCCACTTTGAAAACCAAACACAAAGTAAATTATAAGATAACTGAGTGATTCAATGTTCCACTTTGGTAGAATGAATCAGGGTCAGACTTGTATTATTGTATATGATTCCTAAGGTCTACACTCAAAACTTTTCAAAGAATAAAGAACTGAAAGCCCATTCCACCATTCTGTGATACATTAAGCATAATTCAAGCTTGCTTAAATACATACAGTGCAAGAGAACTGCTTTCCATTTTATGTACCAGTTAAAGCTAATATGAAGCAAAAAATTGATTGAAGAATTCTAGTAGATCCTACCTTTTGTTTTGGCCAACACAAATGCTGCCACATTCTCCACCTTTTCTACATGAAAGGGACCATCTAAACTTTCTTCTGGGATCTCATCTTGTTCAATGTGCACAAGAAGTCAGCAACATAAGACTTCAGGAGAATCATACATAACTAGAAACAACAAAATCAATAATGAAAGGTGTAGTATCTGTTCCTATCAGTTTAACAACAAAATCAACAATTTAATAAGCCACAGTTTCTTTTACAAGTCTCAATTACCTTTAGCCCAAAAACCACAGCTTGCCAAAGAGCAAGAGACTCCTAATAAGCTTTCTTTGGTTTTAACTTTTAATACAACTACATCATGGTTGTCAAACTGCATTGAAAATTAATAAACATATATAACTTCAAAATCTATTTGACTGTGGGAAAAGTGGTTTAGAAACAAGACAAAAGAAAAGGCATGCACCATCATTTGCATTGGATGGAGCAATTTAATAGTGATTGCAATGAGATATTTGATGCACATTTCTTGTTAATTTCATTGGAAAAAAATGAAATTAAAAAAAGAAAAGATTAAGCCTGAGTGTACAAGTAATGGAAAATAGCAAAGATGTAATGTGATTTAAAAAATCATGATGTATGGAAAACTGCAGAATCAAAACTCATTTAATGTCTTTGGACCTTAGAAACGTAAAGAATAATCACATTCAACATGATACCAAACATGAGTAAGCAAAATTCAAAATATTGCACCAAAACCATAAAAAATGTAAGAGCTACCACCACTACTCATTTGAGTCCTACCTTGTCAGCTGGAAGAACATCACCTTTGCTGGATTAAAACTAGAAGTGTTTTCATGAAAAGCCCGGTCTACTTTGAATGCCTAATGCTTAATAAATTATAAAATACCTGAGTGATTTTATAGTTCATTTTGGTAAAAACAAAAAAGGAAAAAAAAAAAGAAAAAGAGGTGTTTATAGAAACTGACATGTGAAAATCATGCATACTTGAGCTGAATAATTATGCAGAATCCTTTTTATTTCAAATCCAAGCATGATTCATATAATAAATATACAATCTGAACATCAACACACTTAAAAGTCAGAATACATAGTGAATTCCATGTTTTGACCAGTATCCAAATCTCTTGAAAAGCCTGAGAAGATATATGTTAATTTCTCTACTTCCTGACACAATTAAATACAAAAAAATATTGGCAAATTCCATCAATTTATTCTACCCATTGTCTCATTTTGCAGTTCAATAGTAAGCAATCACCAGGAAAGCATTACACTTAACAAAAATAAATAAATAAATAAAACAATATGTGCATTTTCATTAATGATTTTTTCTTTTTGACCTTTTGGTACTGAATGACTGATAAGATGATTTACAGAGACACCCATTTTTGGAATGGTGATAATATTATATTAATCAAAACTTTAGATCAAATAGTAATCAAAAGTGAGATGAACTGTTGGAGAAAAAACCTCGTCCAAATTGATTAAAGGAGTCAGTGATGGTGGAGATGAAGTGTTACAGACGACTTCTTCTTGGTCTTGTGTCCCCCCATCACCATAGCCGCTTCTCTGCCAGTTAAGAGAGAATGAAAGATTTAAACAACACACACATATATAAACATTGTTCTCAGAAAAAGGAAAACATATATATAAAGAGAGAGAGAGTCCTCAACCTTTATGCCTTTGCTTGCAAAGTTTGTCTATACCATTAGAAGCCAACATTTGCATCCTTTTCATCTGTAGTTCTGTACTGTTGAACAAGAAGCTATCACAAAACAAAAGAGGAGGAACAAGAGAATCAATAAATTGGTGATTTGATTGTTGTGGGTTGGAATTCCTGCTTTCTCTCCAGTTAATTCATCAAAGATTAGATTGAAAACACATTTATGTATGTACGTGGTACAACCAAGATATATAACAATACAGCAAAATACATAAGAGTACAGATGGTGTTCTAAACCAGTTTTCAACACAACTAATTCACACAGTATGAAAACACAAGAATCACACTAAAACAATCCACACAAGAGTAGTAGAAAGGACATCCTTCGAAGCCTGGAACGAAAAGCGATAGACTGGTTGAATGAATTGGCTTCCTGATCCATTGAAAAAACAGAAAGAAAAATTCATTACTTGAAAATCATGGGGAAGGGAAATTATATATAAGCACTATTATACGGTTTTTTTTTAGGGAATTTATATAAATGCATTTTCATTCAGAAAAAATTCTTCAATTTGTTGGAAATGAATGGTAGAACAAAGATTTGCAGAGAGTCATACCTAAATTAAAATGTGCAAATTGATTCTCACCTTTCAATCTTCTGCATATTCCCCCGATTCGGACTTTTCTGACTCCGATGATGGAATCGCGTATGGATTAATAAAATTGAACCATGGGTTGAAGGACCTCCTTTGCATTGGAATGGTCCCACTCCAACGATTCCCACCATTCCTGTTCTCCTCGATATATGTTGATTATCATGAGGGAAGGAGGAGGAGATGGTTGGGCATTATCAAGCAGGGGAAGATAAAGAGGGATCCTCCTTAGGCCCTTGCAATCACTAATGGTAATAGATCCAAGAGAATCACATACCATTACTGCCCTCCTGCTACATATGCTCTTCAATGCGGGCAATTTCCACAATTTTAATTCTTTTAATTTTGGAAGAATGAGCTCCTTGATGATGTCCCCTCCTTCTTCTCCTTCTTCTTCTGGATCTGATCCTATTATTTCTTCCATTTCTTCACATCCGTAGACGTAGATTCTTTCAAGACTTTGGAGATATTCTGCCAACTTCCAACATGGAAACAACTTCTTTATTTTTTTGCATTCCACAATCCAAACTACTTTGAGAGATGAAAAAGCCTTAAGTGGAGGTGATGACGTCACCATGACGTTTGCTTCAAACAGCCCATCCAATTTGTGCAAATTATAAAGAAGCAGATACTCAAGGGTTTGGACGACTGGGTTGTTTACCCACGAGGAAAGAACACACTCCATGCCATCACAGTTCCAAATCCAACATTCCCTCAAATCTGTTGCATCTTTGATTCCAGAAAAATCATTTAAGCTTCTTATGTCATGGCAAGCTTCAATACACAATACTTGTACGGAGGGAAATAATGTATTCCCTCCAACAATACTAGTCTCCTCGAACACCATTATTTTCTTGTATCTTCGTAACTCTGCTGTAACAGTATAAGTCACATTCGAATTGCTTCCAACATTAATAAAATAGTCACTCAGCCTATTAGGCTGACATTTGAGAAAGATTCTCATTTCATTTGCAGTGGGGAACCAGCCATG